GATTACTAAATGATGTCTTAACCATTGTTAAATACATTAATTACAGGTGATAGATCCTTTATAAATGGCAGCTTTTTTTTTTTGTCAGTGCGGTTGAGGTTCTGCTTGCGGCCACTCTTCCTCCCTCCAATGCCAATGCAGGTTTCCCATTTTTGGCATGTGTCCTGTTTGTGACTTCTCCCTATGCCACAGTGCATAATATTGCAGTTCTGCAGTAGCTGATGTACCAGCAATGCAGACCTGAAGTGCAGCTGACAGCACCAAAAACTGGACAAACATAAAGACTGTTTCCACCAACCTGCGCAGATGTTTTAGTCTCTGACAGTCGTGAAGGAACAGAAACCATACGACAACACATTGAACCACTGCTCAACAACCACTGGCGCTCTGGAGGAAGACAACCCCACAAACCCACAGAGAGAACTCCACCTGTCACATGTTCTTGTACCAAAACAAACACGGAGGTCAAACTGCAGCTTGTTCTGTTTCTGTACAAAGACATTTGTGCTGAAAAGATGAAAAAAAAAAGGCAGAAAAGAGTTCAGATCCTGGATGGAGAGGTGTGGAGCTGACAGAGCTCAGCTGATGTATCACATATCAAAGATGTTTAAAGACTTCAGCCAACAACTCTGTCGGCCTTTTTGATCCAGGTTGTATGTTTTTCTGGTTTGAAACTTCCTACAGAAAGACCCTCTGTCCCGGCAGCACAAACATCCCTCTGCATACACCACTCTGTCTGAAACCCACCAGTGTTACTGACCAAACTGGAATACGCACACTCAGCCCTGAGGTGTGCAGAAAGCAGCCACTTCAACACAAACACTTCCAGCCCACAGTCATGCATTTTATCCCTTCAGCCCAGTATAGTCTGTCCAACCATGAAGTGAAGCAACTCACTTTTTCTGCCTGTTTTTGGGCTCAGGAGTGAAATGCCCACTGAAAATACACCCCCCACTTTCCTATAACACACAGTGAGGAAAGCATGGGGGCGTGTTATGTTTGGCAGCTGTCAGGATGTTTTATACCAGCCAGGCCACCACTCAGCTGATACTGGTTAAGTCAAACATGATGAAATCGTGTCGACAAAAGCTGCAAAATCTCACATCCATCCTTTCCCGTACAACTTCATAAATCATTCTTTATATATCTACAACTGATTCATGTTAGAAGTGATGAACTGGCACTAGCTCTGCAGTTAATTAGCATCGTTTAGCTCTTTGTTTTGGTTTTCTACTCCACTGTCAACCTCGTCTTTTCCAGCAGAAGAAACTGCAGACAGACACAGTCAGAGTCTAGCTGGTCAACAGACAGACGATGCTGCTACAGGAAGGAAACATAAGCATAAATCTCACCTTTGTGTCGCTTGTTAAAGTTTGTTTTCGAAGGTGGACTGGGCTGAAAGTTGCTCCCTGCTGTGTTCAAGTACAAGTGTGTTTTCCAGCCTCAGGGGGGCAGTGATGAGGTGAAGATGATGCAGCACTTGAAAACAAATAAAGTGATTCGACCTCTTTCTTGAAATATCTTTCTCGTGATATTATGTCCCACACACACACGAATCCTCACTACAGCAGCAAATGTGGATTAATCCACCGCTGAAAATAGTTCCCAACAAATGCAATATTCCCTTCCCTGTTTGTTTGGAAAATGTACGTCTGGTTAATTCCCTCACCTCTGATATCGAGCAGCGCACAGAAGTCCATTCAGGGCCGTCCACCTACACGCTGATGAGGTCTACCTGGAACCTGGAACCTGGATCTAGTGTCACGTCCTGAGTCCAAGTGAAGTTCTAGGAACACACCTGTGACAATGGGAGCACATCAAGTTACAGGTTGCTAAGGTAAGACGTGACAACGCCTTACCGTGGAACATCTGGCAGCTAACGAGACAGATGTGTTTCTGAGGAGGTGGAGGAGACCAAACTAGAGTGAAAACAAAACAGGTAACACATTCACCCGAACATCTGTATCATGTGACAATATATTAATGTTGTGTGTTCAGCCTGTTGTGCTGCCCCCTAGTGGCCAGAAATCCTTCCCTGCAGCTTTAAGGACCGGAGTCTCTCTGTTTCGTAACTGTGCCTGCGGTTTACAGATGTGTATTGAACTAAGTTGGACCAACTGGTATCATCTCCTTCACCACAAACCGCCAATCAGGCCGCTCCACCCACAGCTTCATTTCCCCATGTCAACAGCGCCGCCGCCACATGATGCTGCTGAGGTTGGATTAGAGTCAGCAGATATACACACAGCTCCATCACGTTACGACACAGCGCTCAGGTCAGCTGTTGACTCTCAGCTCAGTTTTCTGGGGCTGAATGTTTACATGTCCCCGTGTTTACACTGCAGACAGGAGGCATGTGTACATGAAGAAACCTCAGATGTAAACTGCCAAATCTCCATCTGCAGCGAGTGCCATCCACACAGAAAATAACTGAAGCTGTATAATAATAATAATACCACACACACACATAAAGGAAACATAAAGGATAAATCTGGTGATCGATATTTTTCTTCCACAGAAAACTAATGTCTCCAACTAGAACAGTCTGTGAATCATCACCCGATTTATCTTATTTATCTTTGCTTCTGCTTAAATCACCATAAACACACACTGAAGTTTATTTTGACTCAGTCTCACACACACCGTCCTGCTGCCACAGATACACACACAACAGCACCAAATGTGGATTATTCCGCCGCCAAAAATAGTCTTCAACAAATGTAGTATTTCCTCGTTTGAGAAAAACTCCAGTGACCAACTGTTTAAGGAAATTACTGAGACTCTTCTTTAAATATCCAGATCATTTAGACAGAAGTTAAACTCTTATACATCCTATAAATGAGCAGATCTGCTTGTCCTCTGTTCACATGCTCATGATACAAACAGTTGGTGCATCTATTTTACGCCACTTTCAACTAATATTCAGATTCGGATCCCTTTCACCAGGTGATATAAACGCAGCGTCCGGGATCCTGGATAAGAGGTTCCCCCCTTTTTAACCTGGATTGTGCATGTTCACATTAATGAGGTGAGGTCTGTAAAGGCTGCAGCAGCAGCAGCTGAACTGGTGTTGAATTTAAGTAAAATTTTAAGGTGTTTGTTCTTAAATTGCATAATACTTTTTTGATTAATTCTTAGAAACATGCAGAGGTTATCCAGAGGACAAACGTCTCAAGAAAATGTTTGTGGAGAAAGCATGTTTTGCTCTGTATTACACAACCTTTAGATTTATCTGTGGTCCTGTTGGAGGGGCCCGACCCCTCGGTTGGGGGACAAACACCAGACTAATCTATCTAGTTCAAAGTTTATTTTGCTGATAATACATCAGTTCTTTTAATCAGCTTTGGTTTGGAGCATTTTTATCCTGTGATTTTACTAAAGAATCTAAGTAGCCCTGTCTCTGAGTGTTGTCACACGTTCATGTTGAGATGCAACACTGACACATCTGCACTTTACTTACAACTGAACCACAGTCAGTGAGACGACACCGCCCTCTGCTGGAGGTGTCCAGGTACAACATCCAGCAGCTGTGGATGTGGATGGATGATTTTAAGACAAACAGACAAATAATGTATCTCAACAATATCATAATAATATCAATACAATGAGCAAACTTTACCGTCCTTTATATTTATTCTAAATGTTTAAGTTGTTTTAATGTAAACAAAGACAACTGTATCAGAAAATAACATCTATTTGACTCCTTACACAGATCATGATGCACAACTAGTTCATGTGTTCAGGTGAACTTCAAAAACAGCAGAAGAACAAGAGAAGATTTAAGAAAAAACATTTATTTAACATGTTGGTCATAAGAATAACCAGAGCACAGCAGAGGAGAAGAGACAGACGGTTCAAGGTTAGCACCTCTGGCTTCACATTTCACACCAGTTCACATGAAACATGCAGCGACACACACACACACACACACACACACACACACACACACACACACACACACACACACACACACACACACACACACACTCCACCATCAGTAGGACTCGACATTTACTGGAATCTGTTTTTCTGTTGGCTCCTCTCACTAAACATCATGCGTAGAAAAACAGCAGTTTAATGAAACAATAGAATGACGTCCGAACACATCTGACTTTTAGCTTGAGTTTTATAATATACTGCAGATATAAATATATATGTAGACATATGAATGTGCTATTTTATATTGAATTGTATTGAACTGTTAGCTATCTTATTTTTTATTCTTATCACAAAATAACGAAGACAACGAGCAGGACCGCTGTGCTTCAGGAAGCGCCTGTTATAACTGTCAGAGGTAACATGGAGACAGAGCTCATTCAAATACACATCATTTCACAAAGACTGAATATATTATATTGTATTTATGTCTTAGTCTCAAACAGCTTGTTTCACATACTGTTACTATCACAATCTGAGAAAATAAAACACCTACACTCTTATTTCCTGCAGCTTGTTTCCCTCAACAGCCTCTTTACATTAATTCTCATATATATGAGGAATAAAATGATTTTATTTCGCTGTAGGTTTTTAAATTAAAGAATATTTTTAGCCTGAAGCTGAAGAAGCATGGAACAGTGAGACTGTTGTTGTACAGTAGGTTTTTTTTCTCAGTGTGGAATTGACGGCATTTAATTAAAATGTATTCGAACCGACTTTAAAAACTAATCCAAGGAGTTTTGAAGGTTTATGAATATCATAAACCAGACTACATTCAGACGCTCAGAGCGAAACCGACAACAACATGTCGTCATCGCTGTAAACTCTTCACTTCCCCAAAGAAAACACAGAAATAAGTTAAAATCTAATTCTTTCAGACAGTGAAACATGTTTCTGTCTTTGACGGATGCAATAAACAAAAGAGTAGTTAAACACATGTGGACACTTGTTGGTGTTTGGTTCAGAGCAAAATACGAGGTTTGGCATTTACTGGTCATCATGACTGGGGGGGGGGGGGGGGGGGGGGTACGGAGAGAGAGAGTTGTGTCAATATCACTGACAGATGTGTTTCGTGATCCACAAAGAGAAATACAACCCTAATTCAACTCACTCAAGGTGTCTGCACATGTATTCCAGCCCCCGGTGGCACCCCGGGCCTAAGTTGGCCCTCTGCTGGGCCTAAGTAACGCCACATCGATCAATAAATCCATTAAAGTCTCTTTAATGGCAATCAGCTGTTTTCTTAATCTTTATTTATAACTTTCGTCATTTATCAAGGAAAAGTGAAAAATATTTTCTGTAACTTGAGTCTCAAATATGATGAATTGCTTTTATCTGAACTGAATCTCTTTGGGTTTTTCACTGTGTCACTATTTTAATCTAATTAACAAACAGAGAAAACAACAACATGAATTGATAATGGAAATAACTGTTAATTGCAGCCCTGGCTGAATATTTCTGAGCATCATCATTTAAATTTACAGCCGTCCTGTTTGGACCATGAAACTTGAGTCGGTCAGTATTGAGACTACTCTCTCTCCTCAGTGTCTGTGATGTAAAGCACTGTGTGGAAGACTGTGGTGTTTTACCGCACACTCTGAGACATGTGCAGAGGAGTCAGCATCTCTTCAAAGATGGCTCCCTTCACATTGGAGCCTCTCAGGTTCGCCTCCTGAAGATCACATCCTGACAGGTCACAGTTCTGGAAAATAAGAAAACACTTGAATGTATCACAGGTGTTAGACCTGGGGGGATTTCAGAGGGTCCTGGGACATTAGACCAACTGAATTTTGATTTTGTTTTATCTTTACTGTCAGATTTGATTGAGAGACATTTGCAGGTAACAGATCAGCTCCTGTGGATCTGTGTGTTTGCAGGATGAACCCTGCAGGACTCTAATTGCTTGTTTTTAAATGTTTTCATTAACATAGTTACTTGTGTTCTTGAACATGGACTCTGTGTCTGATGTAGACCTGCTCTCTTCTGGTTCTGCGTGTGTTCTCACCTCCAGGTCCGTCCCGGCCAGCGTGGCTCCTCTCAGGTTGCAGTTCTTCAGTTTGGCGTTCTTCAGCGTGGCGACCCTCAGGTTGATCCCCGTCATCTGACTCCCCTCCATGTCCACACCCTTCAGGTTTGCCCCTGAGAACGTGAACACACACACAGTCACGTGTGAAGTTCAAAATACACTTTGTTCAGGTGTGTTTATCTACAGAACACGTGTGATTGGCTGCTTCACCCTCCAGATTGGCTTTGATCCCAGCTGGATCCTCAAAGTTACAGCTTCTCAGTGAAGCTCCCTCAGCGTTGGTGCACAGCATCTTCACTCCCTGCAGATTGGCTCCCTGCAACACACACACACACACACACACACACACACACAACTGACGTTACATCTGATTAAAAACTAACTTTGAGCAACTGAAGTACAAATAAGATAAAAAAACAAGAAAGATGGAGCCACAGGTGACGTGGTCGGATGATTCATTCTCAAAAACAATGTCATTCAAACATGTAGAAAGGAAGATGGTGTCAGAGCACTGAAGTTGTGTTTTACAGCCTCACGTTAACTTCCATAATGAGACCAATGATTTTCATGCAACGAGGCAGAATTACACAAGTTTTAAATGTGCAGCACTGATATCAGATCAGAGCTCAGCGTTTACTCTCCCTGATGTTCAGCACGACTCACATCCAGACAGGCCATGGACAGGTCCGCTCGCTCCAGGTTGGCCCCGCTCAGGTTGGCGTGGGTCAGGTTGGTTCCTCTCAGGTTGGCCATCTTAAAGTTGATGTAGCGCAGATCCAGACGAGACAGATCTGCACCGTTAAAGTTCAGACCCCGTGGGACCACACACACACACACACACAGCATCTAAGGGACCGTGCAGATGTTTCACCTGTATGATCGATGCAGCTGTTTAAGGCGTCTCTACATTTGTGCTGCGACGTTATGAGCTGTCTTATATGTCAAACCCAGGTTGGGGGTAAGGGTTAACCTATTCCAAATCAATATGCAGATATCGATCAGCTGTGGCGACCCCTCACAGGACATTTTCAAAAACCTGTTGCTGTGTCTTTTTTATTCCGCCTTCTGTTTATTTTATATTTTGTCTTAATGCGTTCAGAAACGAGCTTCCCTTTCCTTCTGTGTGTGCGTTTGTTTTCCTCTACCTGACAGCGCAGCTCTGACTTGGTGGTGGTGGCCAACAGGAATCTGATGAACTCCTTGCGGGTCAGAGGGGAGTGATCTTCAGGCGGCTGGGAGGCCTGAACAGGAGGAAGGAGACAGGTGGAGGTGAAGCTGCCGCAGCTGAACACACGCGTCGTCCAGCAGCATGTTTGGTTTACACTCACTCACTCACCTTGATGAGAGTCTCCAGCTGCTCGGCGAGCTGCTCAATACCAAAGAAACGAGCCTCCTCCAGCACACCTGCAGGGGGATGAACAGAGGTCAGACACCAGTGAGGCGTGTTCACTTGTTTATAAGTGAGTCTGTTTTACCCAGAGGGTTGATCCCTTCATTGATGATGAGCTGTCCGTGTCTCAGGTAGTTCAGGATGGGTTCAAAGTAGTCTGGACTGCGATCGATCAGGTAGGCCCCCTGAGAGTCTTGCTTGTTCCCCCACACGTCTGGATTGAATACAGAGTGACAGGAAGTTAAATAAAGACATGAATCACTTCTCGTCAGACAAACAGATAAAAAGTTTAACGAGTGACGTCACCTTTCTCTCTGAACATGTGGGCCAGCATGCTCTCAGGCTCTTTACTGACCAGAGTGCTCCTGAGGAAACACACACACACACACACAAACTCTCAGGCCTCGCTGCTTCACTGTCATCCATCACGTTCATGTTTTTATAAATCAGAATGAGACTCGTGCAGAGTGGCCATATTTACCTCGTGGTGGTGAAGCAGCGTCCGCCGACGTTGAGCGTCAGCCAATCAGTGTGAGTCTGCCCGTTTTCAGGATCTCTGAGGTCATCCTGAGGATCTACACACACACACACACACACACACACACACACACACACACACACACACACACACACACACACACACACACACACAGTAAGTGTCACTGCAGGTATTTTAACTGATGGGTGTCTCTCACATTTTACTGGAATATGTTGAGCGGTCTGTCACTGTTGATTCTTGTTATGCTGCTGTTTTACTGACTTTCAGTCGTGTGTTTTCTAGTAACACTTGTGTACTTCTACTGCTGATACTTGAACTACATGAAGCTGATAATCCTTGTGATAAGATGTAATAAACCCACAGTCAGATTGCACCTGTATGGAAAATGTTGACCCCAGTGTCACCAAAACCTGTGGTGCATTTGTGTCCGTCGGGAAAATAAGTTCTGTGGAGCTGTAGAGCCATTTTACAGAAGAGAGAACACACAGATCAAAAAGAGACGTTTTTCATCTTAAAGAAAAAGTTTCTTATTTGATTTTATGTCGTCTATTTTTGACTTTATTTCTGTTTTTTATTCCTATTTTATTATTATACAATTCATTTCATCTTATCATTTCACTTTCCATCTCATTTTACACTGATATTTTTCCATGTGAAGCACCTGGTGCAGGTAATTTCTTTGTTGCAAAACATTTTAAACTGCATTACAAATAAAGTTTTTATCATTATTAATATTATTATTAGTCTTGAGCTTTGATACTTTACATGAAGTTGAATACTTATGTACTTTGTGCTGGTGATAAAACAGACCGGACGCAGTACTCTAGTATCTTTACATTGTTGGTATCGGTGTTTTAAATAAAAGGGTGTGAACACTTCCTACCTTCGGATGAATCTTCCTCTGATATGTACAGCACATCGTCGTCTCTGCGGGAACACACACAGTATAAACACCGTGAACTCACCATCACGCTACAACAAACATGACGCAGCAGTTCATCTGATAATTTTACCGGATCAATGTGATGTCGTCGATCAGGCCGCCGTTCCCGTTGTAAACACTAGAGGCTCTTATCCCCAGTTTTGAGCTGGCCACGGTCAGTAAATCCTCCAGGGAGCCGTACACGGCCACCACCTGAGTGAAAACACCGGAGACACACAGCGGCTCACCTCCCAGCACCGTAACCGTTACACGTTTAACGTTAGCTGCTAACACCGAGGTTAACAAGCCATTTTGTCTACACAGTCAACAAGCTAACCGACACCTATTTCCCCCTTTTATCTTCCGCTGCTCACCTTTCCGTTGGTGGAGGTTCCGTTGACAAACAGTGTGACTCTTCTCATGGCTGAATCCGATCAGTCAGACCTTCAAACGGAGCGAGTTTCACCCAAAATACATGTTTTTTTTTTATTTTAGCAACTAGCACTTCTTTTCCCCCGTTCTCTTTCCTGACTCCGCTCAAACGCCCAGCGCAGCCGGAAGAGCCAATCCGCTACTTATTTTAAACGCAACGGCCAATCAGGAAGCCGAGGGGGCGGGACCTCCACATCTCCGTAAAGCATTAGTAAATAATCAATATTTTTGTCTTATTTGTGTCTTCAGTGTCCACTTCAACCACCAAACTGTACATTAAATATAATATATTTTATAATAAATTAAACAATATAATATAATCTGTAACAGAACGATACACACACAGGTTACTGAACCAGCTTCTTTCTCAGCAAATAAACAATCTGCAAGTCTAATCTAAAATATCACATCACAACTTTACTCCGGTAAAGTACGAGCTCTACAAACTTGTACTTGACTTGAGTAAATTCAGAATAAAAGAGGTGAACGATCTGTTTTACAAAGAGCTTTATTAAACAAATGATTCACCAGGACATAAAATAAAAGCTTCTATTAACATAAACATACAATGACTGCAAATTGTGCAACTTAAGATCCAGAGCCTGTTCATTTGGCCGAAGCAGAGGACACAATTTTCTAATTAATACTATAATTTCTAAACCTCATCTTGCTCCTTTTTGTTTTTGACCCCAATAATCAGATATTAATTCAAACATGAAGAGATCCTGACCAATAATAAATCTTTTCTTTTTACTGAACATATTCTAAACAAATATTAATATATCAGTGTTTTAAACCTCCTGCATCAGCTAGAACAGAGTTGAGTAACTCTTGTTTTCATCTGTGCCACAAGAGGAAGTGCAACCAGTGAAAACCATCGTCTAATAACCACACATTTACTCTGTGCAATTAAACTGTGAAATGCCCCGACTGGTTTCTGCTCACGCCTCAGTCTGACAGCAGATCTGACTCAGCAGGTTCTGGTTCAAACTATTAAAAACAGGCAGCACAGAGCTCAGTGTCAGGTAGAGCGGATTCACCTGCGCATGTGTCAGCATTAAAACTACTGAAGTCAGTTACAGGGATGAATGTTCAGAGCACAGCAGGTCAACTGATTGTTTGCAAACAGCAGCACCACCCTCTTATTAAACAGTCAGTACATTTAGAGCCCAACCCGCATCTCGACCAAGGAGTTAGTATGAAAACAGTCAGGGGACATTTTGTTTGTCTATTAGATAAAAACAGGTGTAAGGCAATAAAGTGGCATTAGAACTGGGAAATGTCAGCACGTAGTTCTAGAAATGTGGCTTTTGTGTGAAAATGGAGGAAGTCAAAACTGCTAATGTGATGGATGGAAACATGGATGCAGCACCAACATAAAGGCCTGTGTCAGAGCCGATATGATGATAGAAATAAAAGGAAAGCAAGAGCCTGTAAAAGTTCATCAATAGTGCTGTTGTTGAGCCACGGTTTTCTTCTATATATTTATTTACATTTTGTCAAATTGTCCCCATTAACAGCAGCCGAATCAGCTGTGATCAGCTGCTGTTTGCAGTGTATCATAGATGTTCAGATAACTGATATGCAGCCTCTTTGTTCTCTGGAGCTTTATTCTGAAGGGACACGAGACATAATGATATCCTCAGGAAGTGGAAGTCACACTGAATCATATCAACCTGTGTTTCAGGTCTGACTGAGTTAGGACTCTGAGAAAGAGGACGATTCGACTTTTGACTCTGTCCTGTTGAATGTCCACATCCTGTCATTTCACCAGGGATAAAACATCGTCACAGTGAACACTTCATTAATCCCGTGTGAACGGGACTTTTATGAAGCTGGTTTTGTTCTGGTAAAGTGTTTTAAATAAGGCACAAAGGAAGACATCTTCATGTCATGGGTTAAGGCGTAACAAGAGTGGAATAATGAACACAACATCAGTCTGTGTTTGACTCTTCATATCACTCAGTGTGCTTCCACACGCTCAGGATGTTATTATAACTAATTATTACTGTGTTAATGATGCAGAATGTTGCAGCTGTGTCAGTGTCAGTATAGTAGTAGCAGTATATTCCCCTTCATCCCGCTGCTCTGCTGTCACACTTCACATGCTCCCAGGAGAGATCAGATAACTGTTGGCTGCACATGAAAAGCAAAGTATCAGATGTTTCATAAACTCCTTCAAGTGTCTGAGACTGAAATTTAAATACAAACAGAAGGGACCTTGAGTTATTAGATTTAGGTCCTGGTACAGTCCAGGGTTGGGCCTCTTACACTGTGAAGACTTGAAACTTGGAACTAGAAAATAAAAGGTTCTTTGGGCTGGAAACTCTTAACTGATAGTGCTGTGGTTATTTCCTCATGAGGCAGATCAGATCAGTCCTTCACACCCGCTCTTCCCCAAACTCTTCTCCCCATCTACATGAACACTCACCTGAGTTCTGCATCCTGTTTTATGGTAAAATACATTTGGTTTTGTACCATCAGCTCTGACTCTGTCTCTGTTTCTCCATCCCAACGAGTGAAACTCATTTCTACTCATTCCCACTGTCCTCTGTGTCCTCCTCTCCTCCTTCATTCTGTCCTTCTGCGTTTCTCTCTGGGTAGTTGAGGATTTGTCTGTTGGCCTGCATGATGTACTGCTGCTGTTTGAAATACACCTTCAGCACGCCCTTCATCAGCACAAAGGCGATGCCACCCTGTGGGGAGAGAGGACAGTCATCAATACAAACTCCGACTCTTTTTAAATCTCTGCAAAAGACACATTTTTATTCTCTAATCTTTCAGTCTGTAGTCATGGTAATAATTGAGTGTTTGCTTCCTTTTTTGTCAGTATGTTGATTATGTGTGTGTATACAGTATATTTACTATGTTTTCCTTGTGTATGTTTTACTTACTTTTATTTATTTTAACCGCCCTCTGTGCATCACTTTGTTCAGCTCAAGCTGTTTAAATGTGCCCTAGAAATAAAGTTGACTTGTTTTGTCTCTGAAACAGCTGAGCCAATGAAGCCAAAAAAATAAGAAAAATAGGAAAATATTCTCCAGAAATCTTATTGTTGCCATAGCAGCAACACTATCAGACATAATTCTGCTGCATCTCACGTGCAACTGTGGACAACAGACAAAAAATCAATCACATTCATTTAGACGAGGAATTAAATGTTCATTTTTGATCAACTAGTCGGAGGCTGCAACTAAAGGATTATTTTCTCAACTCATCTATAAAATGTCAAATAATTGCTCATCACAATTTCCCAAACTACAAAGTGATGTATGTAAATATTGTTCTGTGTCTGAATGACACTTTAAACCCACAGAAACTCACTTTACAATGATTTAAAACATTTGACAACGTTTGAAAAACAACTAATGATTCATTTAATGATCAAAACAGTTGGTGATAAATATTCTGCACGATGGTTTCAGCTAAACAGTCATTAATTAAAATAGATTAATTACAATTTTACACGCTGATTGTTGTAGTGACACCACGACCTTCTGTACTAATTACCCACAATACAACAGGCTGGATTATAAGGAGACAACCTTTCTCAGACAAAATAAAGCCAGTTTCAATAGTGAAATATAAATTATATATATATATATATGTATGAGGTATATTCACCAGTATCGTGCGCTGCAGATTGGAGGACACCTGTCGAAACAGCAGCCGTCCCACCAGACTGGCGATGGAGGGAAAGATCAGAGCTCCACACAGAGTCCTGGACACAGAGAGGTGGTCTCCTGCACTGGGTCCGTCCACTGGGACACGGGGCAGATAACGATTGTTACCTGGGGTAAAACACACTCGACTCTTTAATTTGTTCATAAACTACTTCACATGATATTTTCCAGTCGCTGCCTGATATCGCCTGTTTGTGTTTATATTTATTGTAGATTTAATTAACATCTTTGGTGAAACCTGAAGATGAATTGATTTCATTTCATCAACAGTTCATATGATAATGATTCATATCATTATCACGCTGTAAATGGGCCGTTTGTAACTAATGAACATGAAGGTGCGCTCTGTTAACTCCATGTGCTCATGTACCTGGCGGGATCTTGCGTCTGTACGAGTATCTCTGCCACAGTCTCACGATGTAATCCTCCCAGCGGATCATCTTTCCCAGGACCAGCACCACGGGGATGGTGGGCAGACCCATCAACAGGAAGAGCGGGTCGGCTCGCTCCATCACATACAGCCCCTTCTTATGACCCACGACCTGCAGGTGAAACCACAAACAGGTGAGGCTCCTACAGACTGTGACGCTCTCTGGTTTGATTCTCTGTCCGAGCAGGATGTTGTTAGTTCACCTGCATGACTGTCACAGCTCCGTACGTGACGGCTGACCAGTACACCGTCCCCACCACCACCCCGACAGCGGCGAAGGGACTGGCCCGGGACAGAGCTTTGTCCACCTGCTGCAGGAAGTAGACCAGAGGGCCTGAGGGGAGACAGCAAACCACACAGTCACTTCTCTTTACATGTCAGAGCTCCATTGTTTTCCACTAACCTTTAAAAACACATCAATGAGTCACATGCATGTCACACACTATAGCTTATTCACAAACACACACACACACACACACACACACACACACACACACACACACACACACACACACACGAATTTAATATCGTCTAAGCTTAAAAACCTGTGAATATTTAGTATTTCTGCCTAAAAAAAGCTCAAACGATTGATTGATTATCAAAATGGTTTCCAATTAATCCCTAATACTCTAACCACCTCACTCATCCTGTTTGTGATGCAGGTTGTCGTCTCAGGCTGAGATCACCTGCTGACATTAGTTCAGTGTGATTCGTGGTTGTTTTCTCACTCTTGACAGAAGACATGATGCAGCTGTTTTCAGGCTGAGCAGAACTGTTTATGACGAGTAAATCACAGGTAAAATCAGCAGTGTTCCTTTCATCTCCTTGTTGAGGAGCTGTAAAGTGTCACTCACCCATCTTGGGGAAGATGACGTGGTACTCGGTGCCACACTGTGGACAGCTCACCGCTCCTCCATTGTTTCCTTTCTGCTTCTCGTCCAGCCAGCGCTGCAGACACGACTGGTGGATCCATTTAGTGCAGCCTTTACACCTGCAGGGGCTCACCCACTCTGCACTGTGGTCGTCCCTCTCTGTGGCAAAACACACCCAACAGTGTCTGAACACACACACACACACACACACACACACACACACACACACACAGTTTTACTAACTGCCTGTAAAGCAAGGTTCCCACACGAACATATGCTGGTGACATGATACACACTCCTGCCAGTGGTTTCCCATTGAACTGCAGCAACACATCAAGAACACAGCACCAACAAAGACAGAGAAGAAGAAGAAAGAAGAAGCAGAAGAAGAAGAAGAAGAGAAGACGAAGAAGCCCTATAACATCAATGTAAACAATACTGGATTTTTATTATCATCTTTGCAAATGTTTTACAGTGAAGGAAATGTATTCAACATGTCCGACCTCAAAGATACACAATGAGTTTTGGAGGGAAACATTCACCTGTAAACAAAACTTTTGTTTGTTTATCACAGCCACTTCCTTTCCTGTATTTATAAATTCAATCATATGAGTCTTACGTAAACTTATGTGCACTTGCTTGATATGTAGCTGCATTTTTAGCCCATTTAAGGATTTTACTTTTCGGTTTTATTTGTCCAGATATCTGTCTGAGATTTCTTTCGTCACCACAATACAATGGAGATGAATGTACTTTACCAAAAGGCACCTTTAGACTGAACAACTGTGCAAGTTTAAATGCTTGAATAAGCTCCAAGTTTAACTACGTTACTGAAGTGTACTTAAATAAAACTGATGTCAGAGTGAAACAGTGCAACAAGCCTGACATGAGGTGCGATGACGAGGAGGAGATGAGGTCTTACTTCTCAGGCTGCTCCTCAGCAAGGGCCATGATGGTACTGAACACTCTCTGCTCTCATGAACCCGTCAGACTGTGGCAAGGACCTGTGAGATGAACATGTGCAGACTGACTGATTCACACAAACACAGATATATACACACACTCACAATGACTTGCTTTAGGGCAAATTACAGTGGTGTAATATAACTAACCCTACTTTTACTCAAGCACTGAACTTAAACTTACTCTTTCTTTTTTTAAATGTTTCAATGCATAATGTAGCGCACTTTGAACTTTGTGTATGAAATGTGCTGCACAAACAAACTTGCCTTGTCTATGCTCGTTCTGAATATAGCTGCAGTAAAACCAAAGTAGTGGCACTAAATTTGTCCTCAACCAAATTCTTACAAGTCCAAAGACTGTGACCTGCGTCAGGCTCTTACATATACTATCCGTGTAATATAACGCTGTTGAAATTACCACAACCTTTACAAGTGATGCTTACACATTAATGTATCACTTACTATAATCCAGTAATATTATACACATTTTCTGACATGGATCATTCTGCAGAATTAATGTTTTAACTTCTGGCATTTAAAATACATGTATATTTTGATGCTAATGCTGAAGTAAGAATTTGAATGCAGGATTTTCAATTGAAACTACAACTTTTACTTGAGCAAAGATCCAGTGGTGGATGAAGTATTTGGATCCTTTATCCTTAAGTAAAAATACAATAATCTAAAAATACTTAATTACAAATAAAAGTCCTGCATTCAAAATGTTACTTTCCTAAAAATATTATCAGCAAAATGTAATTTAAAGTATCATAAAAGAAAGTATTAATTATGTGTGGTAAATGTAGCTACTTCACCCATTACTAGTTATTGTAATAGCAAAACGCATCATACTTTATGGGCTTGTCATATGTTTTGCCTTTAACATCTTAATATGGACAGCAAAAATCCATAAAGCTGTAAAATAAATGTAGTGGAGTAAAAAGTTTCTCTCTGAAATAAAGTACCATAAAACTGAATTACTTAAATTAAGTACAAGTACCTCAAACTGCACTTTAAGAACACTATTGGAGGAAATGTAGTTTCCATTACTGCTTACTGTAAACTGAAACCAATAGTAAAGCTAATCCCTCGACATTAGTTAGCTTCGGTTCCAGCTATAACAACTTAACACTGCTTGACTGACTATTAGTAGTTTTGTCACTTTAAACTAAAACCACCTGCTTAAAAAACGTAAAGCTTGAAAAACAAAGCTAACATGCTAGCGGGAGATAGCTCGTTAACTTTAGCTAGAGTTGTTATTTCTACATCAAGCTAGTTACTAAACGCAAACTAAGCTAGGTTAACCAATAATACAGCTGACCACATAAGCAGTCAGTGTCAAAAACAGCTGTATGACACTAATTTAAAAGCAGCTCTTACCTGAAAAATAACTGTATATTCGGATATTTAAAGTTTTTACTGTTAAATCCGATTCTAAAACGCTGTGTTATACTAATGCGGTCACATTAACTTTCTGGCCAAGACAAGTCCCGCCCCTGTCATCAGCTTTCTGATTGGTCGATGGCTGTGACAGTTACCATGGTGCATTCAGTGTATGTGGAAAACGTGGAAATATTAACCTTCGAGCTTGAAAATACGACCCAGAATGAGAATCAGATTTATTGTACACGTTATGTAGCCTACTAGTGGCCATCGGTGTATTTACACAGTGGCAATAACAATGTTCAGGAAAATACACATGAACATATAGAAAAAACAAGGACAACAAAGCTGAGCAAAGATAAGTAAACATAAACACACGAATATCCTCTATAAGAAAGAAGATGAAGAAATAGATATATGAAGTAAAAACTAAGTAGAAACATAGATATATTACTATAATGTAAAAACAGATTCACAAGTCAGTACAAGTCAAACAGTTCCTGGAAGTTGTAAACAAGGATACAAAGGGGGCAATGAGTGCTGAAATAAATACTGAATGTGTCATTTAATAACTTACTTATATACTATACATACATTAGGTGGTTGTGCACACTTTGTGCATGTGCACTCATATAAAGAATATACAGCCTGCTTGTATTTTTAATTGACAAGTGATGGGTGATGTACACATTAATGCACAATGTGAATTTCAAAGTAATACAGTAATAATTTTTAGGTACAGTAGATGTTTCAACATTACATATCTATCTATCTATCTATCTATCTATCTATCTATCTATCTATCTATCTATCTATCTATCTATCTGCAATGGGGCAGCAATGTACCACACCCATCAGTGATGTCACAGGGTCTTGAAATTTACCTGTATGTCACTGCAGCACCACTTTCCACTGTGGGATTATATAGTGAAACTAATGCCGTTATTGATAGCTGATCAATCATTTAGTGATGATTTATATATTCATAAGAACCAAATAAGAGTCAGTTAGGTCATTTAACCACATATTTATTGAGCAGGGCTGCAGGGTTGCATCTGGACCAAAATCCATTTAACTGACGACTTGATTAAAACTCTTTATTAATGACTTATTCATATTTAAAAATGCAGACTTGTTGACAAAAACCTTTTATTACTATGATTTATTAACAGTTATAGCAGCACATTTGATGCTTTAAACTCTATGTAATTACTTGTTAATATGGATATCTGCAGACTTCATATTCCCAGAAACTAGGATGTGTATTTTTCACTGTTTTCTGATAATTATTCAATGAATGGAAACATGATCGTCAGGCGTAGCCCCGTGTCCACAGGTTTGACAAAGATGCTGGTCTTTCTCTTTGACAGCAAACAAGTACGCATGCCTACTCTGATAAACGCTGTGATTGGTTTACACGTCTGTCAGTCAATGGGTTCTTCAAGCTGATTGGTTGTGGTGGAAGAAGGCGGTCCGGCCCTCAGCGGCAGCAGTACACAGAGGAGCGGCGGAGTGCGGAGTGCGGAGTGACGGGGCGTTATTTTTTACATGATTAAAACACTAAACGGGGACGAATACACGCACGGATCTATAGAAACATATCTTAAATACCCAGTCCGTCATGGAGTCCTATGACATTTTAGCTAACCAGCCGGTTGTGATTGATAATGTAAGTATGATGTCATTCATCCACACCCAAACCGAGGCCGCTGGCGGGGACCGTTGGCTAGCTGTTAGCTGCGTTAACTATTGTGTTATAGCTAAAACATCGGTTACCGACCCTGGCCGCCCTCAGCAAACCTGCCGTAGCTACCAGCACTGCTTTACAGGGTTCCACCCAACATGCTATCAGCTCCAGCTGCTAACAACTGTACCGGCGTCTCTTGACGTGTCCAGCTCCAAGCGGGCGGTAGCTAAACCGGCTAGCTAGTCTTCTGTTTGTCTGATCCTCAGTGTTAGCTGTCCGCGGGGCTGCAGCTGGATCATCACAGATCTTTTACTGCGTTAATGCTGAATACTTAGCATAGCATGCTGAGCTGTCAATAAGGGTGTGAGAGTCATCCTGAGCCATAAGCTCTACAGGATATAGACTGTCTACGTCTGTATATGTAGCTAGCATAAACAGTGGCTTTGTACTGAGCACCGGTGCGTTAACAGGGAGCTGCAGTACGTGAGACGTTTTAAAAACATTGACTTCAGCTCCCTGAGAAAGGTCTTAAAAATAATCTACATTTATAGGAGCTGTAAACTGTTTGTTTGTTTGTATCCCGCTTCTCTTTAACTGCTTCAGTTACTCAGCACAGCAAAATAAGCTAATTTGAGCTGTTTTCCTGCTGTGTCTACAAGGATAGTACCGGTGCGAACCACCTTGGAATAATGCGCTGTCAAGTCAAAATAATTTTTCCTGTTCTTCCCATTCTGCCGTGAATGCAGCATGAGCTCTTTACAGTTGGGGCTCAGGTGAGGTTTTGTCTGAGCGTCGCAGGGATAGCTGAAGTTAGGATATGAAGAAGCACAGATTAATGAAACAGAAACAGACTGTCATGATTTTGTGGAGCCCTACAGGACAAAGTAGATTTTGAGACAGGGATGTAGGACATAGTGTTTCTGCTCACTGCTAGCTGGTGTCTGAGCATGAGTGTGTGACTGCTGGTGGCCTCTGGCTGTGTCTTATGACCTCCCTCTTTCTCAGACACACTGCACAGAGATTAAAGCACTACAGCTCCTAGTTCAACCCTAACCCTGTGATGTTTGGCCCAAATGTCACGTCTCTCTTTTCTTCTTCAGGGTTCGGGGGTTATCAAGGCTGGTTTTGCAGGTGACCAGATCCCCAAATACTGCTTCCCTAACTAGTAAGTGTTTCCTGACCTCACACAGCACCCACATTACAAGGGTCATATGTAAAGCTACAGGAATACTTCATTATTGACTAGTCATCTGATTAGTTTGATTAATTTAGTATCTCTTTGACTATATAAATAAACATGCAATTTTGTCTGAGCCCTGAGTGTTGTCCAGACAATAGTCTAAACCTCAACAATATTGAATTTACAATGATATAAAATGGACAGAAGCAGAAAATTGTACGTTCAAGAAGCACAGTTTGGCATCTCTGCTTGAAAGGTGGCTCTAACAATTATGTAAATCCAATTTATTATAACAGAATAAACCTCTCGAGGTCTCAAAGCAAACAAACACAAAGACAAACAAAAACCAAAACGATACACAACACAATCTACTCTACAGAAACAGATCCACACGGTCTTAGAAATGATCTAACTAACAGTAGTAGTCAGTAAAAGTGTTACTGGAAACACATGAACTTAGTTTTAAGATAAGAGACTCAAACATTTATAAATAAACCAAATTAAGAACAAACTTGTCCAGGTGAATTATTCCGATCTGAATAAAGTAATCAATTATCAAAGTAATTGCCAATGCTCTGTTGATCGACTACTTGGTTATTGGAATAACAGTTTCAGCTCTAATGTTGTATCAGATATTTTGAGTTTCTACTTAATTCGTTGTATTAGTTTGTGTTATGAGTACTTCATATTGTCTGATTGTCTGTTCCTGTGTGTGTGATACAGTGTGGGACGTCCCAAGCATGTGCGCGTGATGGCAGGAGCCCTGGAGGGAGACCTCTTCATCGGACCCAAGGCAGAGGTAACGCACACCAGGGCTGAGCCACAATTCTAGTGGAAGGTTTTTTTAATTTAATTTTCACTGAAAAGAACATAAAAATGATGATGATGTGATTTTTTTTTTTGTGCTTTAAGAACTCACACTTATTCCCTCACCAGTCTGTGAGACACCGGAGCTTTTGAAGCTGTGCCAGTGACATTACTGGGAAAGATAACACATTTTAAACTGCAATAGAATTAGACTGTAAAATATTCATGCCAAAGTTGTGCCTGAATTATTTTAATTGTCAGTATCAATCAAGGTAGTGAGCCAAAATATCATGATATTTGCAATGTGCAAACAAAGGCAGGGAAGAAGAAGAAGAAGAAGAAGAAGAAGAAGAAGACTGCTAGCTAGTGAACAGTGGGTGTAAACAATGCTGGATGTCAAAAACTTCAACAGATGAGCTTTGTAAACGTTTCATGAGGAAGGAAATGTTCATGACTTGCTTGTTAAACCTCGAGGATACACACAGTGAGTGTTGGTCAGAAACACTGAAAACTCCACAGGGCACAGTTTAGTCTTTCACTCCTGGAAAAGGGGGCAAATAAACTTATTTCATATTAACCTTGACGTTTAACACTTTCTGTTTCAAGGGAAATGAGTTAAGTCATTCACAGAGTTTTATCCAACATTTAGAGCAAAAAATAAAAATAAAAACCCACTAGTTATCAGCACTCAGAAGTAGCATTAGAAACTCTACTGTAACTAACCATTATTTTCTTTATTGACTAATTTGTTTCCATTGATGTTTTTCTTCTGTCAGATGAGGAAACATAAGCTGACGTGTTCAGATGTTCTCGTTTTCAGTCAGATAAAGAAAAGATATTCAGTTTAACATCAGATATGAAAAAGAACTGAGAAATATTTGGCATTTCTGCTTGAACTTGAATCAGATGAAGTGAGACATGCAGATGTGTTTTCTCTGTAGTTTGTTCATGTTGCTTTTGATTCACCTGGATTAGCAACCAGGGAAAGTGAGCAACTGGTCTGGAGCCCTGAAACCCTGAAAGCCCCAGTTAAACTGCCTGTGAGGAATTAGCCGATCCTAAAAGCTCATTTTTCATCAGATCACAAAACGACCTTCCACTTCGTCTCCCATGAGCCTCCTGGCAAACTGTAGTCCAGCTGTCATGTGAGTTCATTTCTACAGTGGCTCTGTTTGCCACTCTGCCATGGAACTGGTGATCTGCTCAGACAACCGCTGCTGTATGTACACTTTGTTTCCTCGTCTCTGCAGCTTCTGGAGCATGTGACTCAAACATTTTGTCCACATTTCAAGAGGAGGAAACGCACCCAGAAGTTGTGAAAAAATGCAGATTCACAAACTCTCTATCAGTTTTACCACCTCTCTGACACCCTGCGTCTCTGTCTCTCCCCCTCGCTGTTGCTCAGGAGCACAGGGGCCTGTTGTCGGTTCGATACCCGATGGAGCACGGGATCGTGAAGGACTGGAACGACATGGAGAGGATCTGGCAGTACGTTTATTCCAAGGAGCAGCTGCAGACTTTCTCCGAGGAGGTGAGCTCCTCTCCTCCTGTTTCACCTACAGTCACCTGTTTCTGATTCCAGCTCCAGTAATGCTGATCATGCATCTCTGTGGTTGGTGTCTTTGGCAGCATCCTGTGCTGCTGACTGAGGCTCCTCTCAACCCCAGTAAGAACAGAGAGAAGGCAGCAGAGGTGTTCTTCGAGACCTTCAACGTCCCCGCTCTCTTCATCTCCATGCAGGCCGTGCTCAGCTTGTAAGAACTCCCCGCTCTCCTCATTCAGTTTTCTACAACTTTACAGAGACGTGACGTCAGAATACAGTTTAGTCACATTACAGCTGACTCACTGGCTGTTAGTGAGGCCTGTCGTTCACCACTCCACATTCACATTCAGACTTTATTTACCCCGAGAAGGGCAATCCCTCTGCAGCTCACCCAGTCCACACACACACACACACACACACACACACACACACACACACATCAGAACTCACAGGCAGATTAGTTCATGTCAGAAGCAACAGATCAACATACGTGGTAAAAACAACAACAACAACAACAACAAGCAGCAGGAAGGAGAATAAATGACAATAAAACAAGTAGAATAGATCAAAATAACACATTATGTTACAGTTCCTTCAGTAAATGAATAATATAAACACATGATTGACTGAATTAAAAAAATGAAAATGACAGTTGTTGGTGTTTAGCAGCCTGACATCAGAAGGAGACTGTGACGGTTCACTTGCTCCAGTCTTAACTGCTAAAGAGCTCAGTTCAACAGGAGTGACAGTTATAACATTTATATTTATCAAAAACAACCTAAAAGCACAAGTTTGAATTCTTCAAGTGTCTTAAAAACAGCAGTCAGGTGAAACAGATGTGGAACAGATGTGGAACAGATGTGGAGCGAGGACAGTGAATTTCTTCCTCTATCACTTCCACTGGAAACACTTTAAGAAAGGATCTTTAAATGTCCAGTGGGAACAGAGGGAATGATCACACCTGTGTCAGTGTCTACCTGGTCACCTGACTCTCACTGTGAACCTGTGCTTTTAATGAACAGGTGGATTTCCACTGTAGTAAATACTGTTCACAGGAGAATCAGTGTAGACTCACACTATCACATCTGGCCCACATCTGTTTTAATAAGCTTAATAAGCTTGAACTTAGAATGTGGTTTGGTGATTCACTTGAAATTAAAAATGGCCAAAGGTCATAGTTCAGGGCAGTGAGCGCCAGCCTCCAGTCTGCAGCTTAAACACACAGATGTATGTGATTTAATACGAGGATTACAGGTGTTTGACTGGCTGAAGAGAAACTGAAGAGTTTTGTCGTTGGGATTTTGGAAACTTCTGCTGAAAACTCATAAAAACTCTGTGTTATTGAGTCTAACATGGTGGTTACCTCATGGTGGTTACCATGGTGATTGTGTGGTGACTCCTCCGTTTCCTGCAGGTACGCCACAGGCCGCACCACCGGGGTTGTGTTGGACTCGGGCGACGGCGTGACCCACGTCGTGCCCATCTACGAGGGCTTCGCCATCCCACACTCCATCATGCGCGTGGACATCGCGGGGCGGGACGTGTCTCGCTACCTCCGCCTGCTGCTGCGCAAGGAAGGCTACAACTTCAACACCTCTGCAGAGTTTGAGGTTGTTCGCACCATCAAAGAGGTAAAAGAGGGAAGAAGTGAAGAGATCTGAAATGTGAAATGTGAAACTTTGACTGCGTCTAATCGGACGTGTTTGTGACTTTGCAGAGAGCCTGTTATCTCTCCCTCAACCCTCAAAAGGACGAGACTTTAGAAACAGAGAAGGCTCAGTACGTTCTCCCTGATGGAAGCACTTTAAATGTGAGTCACACTCGCTCTGACGCCTGTTTCTGAAATATACCTCCATCGGTTTCTGTGTGAAAATCTCCGTATCCCCGTATTCTTCCTCTCAGATCGGTCCGGCCCGGTTCCGTGCTCCAGAGCTGCTCTTCAGACCCGACCTGATCGGAGACGAGAGCTCGGGGATCCACGAGGTCCTGGCCTACGCCATCCAGAAGTCTGACATGGACCTCCGACGCACACTATTCTCCACCATAGTCTTGTGTGGAGGGTCGACACTGATCAAAGGTCGGTGTCACTGATGATGGACAGTGGAAACTTTAATGTTGGAGCCAGATTTTAAAACTGATCCAGGATCACAGTTCTTCTTGTGGCTGCTGTTGTTTCCTGTTCATGTTTCGTCCACGCCGAGGTTTTCCGGCGTGTTGTGTCTGAATCAAGGAGCCAGTATGTCAGTTAGATGTGTTGCTCCTCTCTGTGGGTGAGAGAGTCAGTAAACATTAGACTCGCTCCACAAACACCGACTCTTTTCTTCCCTGCAGGTTTTGGGGAGAGACTACTAACTGAAGTGAAGAAGCTTGCACCCAAAGACGTGAAGATCAAGGTGAGTCCAGACCGTCCTAGTGTTGTGTATATTTTCACAAAGCAAACTCAAGCCCTTTATTTATCCTTCTGTTTATTAGTCATTTCAAGCTTTTACTGGTTTGTCCTTTTATTCTAAGATTATTTTCCCTTTACAACTGTTTTTTATTTCTGGTTATTTATTTTATTTCTACTTTTACTTTCTTCCAAACATCTCCTCTCTTTTAGCATTTTATTTATCTTTACCGTTCTGTCTTCATTTTTATCACCCTGCCTTTTATTTCTGGTTTTACTCACTTTACTTGCTGTTTTATGATTTTATCTGTCGCTGGTTAATGTTGCTCCCTCGGGTTCCTGCTGCTCTCTGCTCGTCACTGAGTTTTAAACTTGTGTGTTTGTGACCTGCTCTTTCCTCTGTCCAGATCTCTGCCCCCCAGGAGAGGCTCTACTCCACATGGATTGGGTAAGAAGTCAGGTTTTTATTTTGGGTGGGGGAGGGGGGTGACCACACTAATTTCTCTCTGCAGCTTTGTCACACAGTTTTTAATCCTAACGTGTGTCCCCCCCCCCCCTGCAGTGGCTCCATCCTGGCATCACTGGACACCTTTAAAAAGATGTGGGTGTCGAAGCGGGAATACGAAGAGGACAGAGCACGTGCCATCCACAGGAAGACGTTCTAGGAGGGGCCGCCGCCCTGCGAATGCCCCCAGAACTGCCCTCAAACCCCCCCAATCATACTGTCGGAGACTCCCTCACTCCTTTCTCTAAACCGCTGTCAAGCCTACCCCCCCCCCCGCTTTACCCCCCTCCCTCTCCTGCCTCCACCAGAGAAACACACACGTTTATGTGTGTGTTTCCATATTTACCTCCTTTTTCATTCGCCTCCCTCTCTCTTCCTGCTGTCAGGTGACGGTGACAGCACCCATCCCCCCCCCACACACACACACACACACACACACACACACACACACACACACACACCCCCACACACACACTCAGAGGGGCGTCAGGGTATCTCAGAGGGCAATGATAGCACTGTGGACTCCTCCTGCAGGCCATGCTGTTCTATGATTTGTCCATGAAGTATTGGTATTGCTCTCTTGCCTGCGAAGCCCTGCAAGATGTACGATATCATGAAATGTCAATAAACGTGAATGTTTTCTTTTTTTTTTTTTTTTTTGCTACTGTTAAAATTTCCATTCCAAACCGAAGATTTCGATTTTTATTTGATGTCCATTTTGTAGTTTTTTTTTTTTGGAAGTTTCTGACTCGGATTAGGTCGAACAGGACGGAGGGTTGAAATACTGTAGCAGCGTCTAGTGCTAGTGAGCTAAAGATAACCACTGTATTATATTATATATCTGGCCCGAACTGCACAGTTATGATCTTAAAAGTTAATTGCGGTTCATTTATCATCCAACTGACTGACCTGACATCAGCTCTGATTATTGTTCTTTCTGCACAAACACGACGTCGTGGTGCGTTTGTGTCGTTTTGTCTCAGCTGACGTGATTAAAACGAAAAGGTCAGAAATGCCTTGAATTTTTTTTTCTCTCATTTAGTTCCATGTTTACAGCGAGAGATGCGACACTTAAAGGAGAAATCTGCTGTTTTTCCACCTGGGTTTTACTCTCACAGCTCTAAAAAATACACTTGAGTTTGACAGAAGTTGGAAAAACAAACCACAGATCTATAAAGTTTACAGTTTAAGACAAAGAAAAGCAACAAATCCTCTTATTTGAGAAGCTAAAACCAGTTGTTTGGCTGTTACTCGGAGACAAGTGTGTGAAGTTAACGAGACCTGGAGTCAGAACCAGAACAAGACCCATGTTGAAAATACTGGATTTTCTTCCTTTAAATGTTTCTGTGTAACATCCAGCTGATCTGATAAAACAAAAAGAAAGAACTGTCCAGTTTCCCTTCTTGTCTTCTGGAGCCGTCTTCTTGAATCGGTTGCATGTCAGTTCATCGTGTACAGTGGAAGCCACATGAGTCCAGGCTCTGGAGTCTGGACGGAGAAACACTGAGGCCACAGGAAGCCGGCATGGCTGATGATTAGTTTTTTCTATTATTCTCCTCCTCCTCCTCCCCCTGCCCCCCCCCCCCCCCCCCCCCCCCCTTCTCTATGTATTAGTAAAAAGTCTGGGTCTTATGATTTCCCTGCATTCTCGGTGGCAGTGAAGGGGTCGTGTCCACACCTGTGTCCGCCTTACTCCGACTGCGTCAGCGGAGCGTCCGCGTCGTCTGCTTTTGGGTGTTTTTAAAGAAGATTGATAAAAAACAGGTTGTTCAAACGTCATCAGCCTTGTGTACAGTGGAAAACAAACAAACAAACAAACATACAAACAAACAAACAACCACCACAAAAACCATAACAGACTAAAAATGTACAAAACTGTTTATTCAAGTGTTTGCTTTTACTTTTCGTAAATTCAGTATAATAAATAAGTTAATGGCTGCTGCTCGAACGTCTCGTCATTCATTTACCAGCTGCTCTTCACTCAGTCATCGCACTGTAGACACACGACAGGACTGACTTCTGCACAGTGCTCTGCACACCTCACCAACAGACGCACAACTGACCCGTAACGAGCAACAAAAACACAACTTTGCAAATGAATTAAAAAGTCTAATCTGTGACCCTGTGACCCTGTGTGTGTGTGTGTGGGGGTGCTGGCTGCGATCTGCGACCTCACCACTAGATGTCACTGAATCCTCCACACTGGTCCTTAACTGCAGAGTTTCTTCCAGGAGTTAGTCCCGTCCTTCAGGACCCACGGCAGTCACGCAGTATGTTTGGTCACCACCAGATGTCAGTCTAACAGCATCGATGCAGGGAAAGTGACTCGGGTCCATCCAGCTGAGATGAGTTCAGTGTGAGACAACAGTCCTGTAATAAAACCTCACTCGCTGTGTTGCTGTCTGGTTAATGCAGTAACAAGCTGCTACTTGAAATCCAGCTCTTCCACAGCAGCAGCAGCAGCAACGTGATACAACAAACTGTGCAAGTGTTTCAGGAAGCTGCTGCAAGAATCTGAACCAAACCCAGATTAGAGCCGTTGAGTCTTTCCCTTCAGTGGCTCCCTCTGCCGGTCAGGTGAGACTGTAAAGGTGCTTTAAATGAAATCACGAACGGGCAGATCCATCTGACTGTCCACGCCTGTTGAGTGGCTCATTCTTTCATTATTTCAGGCCTGATGTGGTGAATCCATTAAACCTGCTGTGAGAGGAGGAAGTCAGCAGGTGGGGAGACACAACGCCGAGGAAGCTGTGTAGTGAGTCTCCTCCGTGTCTCTCTGCTCCCTGACCGTGAAATATTGAACACAGATATTGAGCAGTCTGCTGACATGACGCTGAGGATGTTGTCGGCACAGTGACACACATCAGCCGTGCCCTCTTATCTCCTGTCTGGAGACGCGCCCTCCAAACGCAGCAGCAGCAGCAACCCAGCTCCGCAGTGTAACCTCACTGTTCCCTGCTGGAGGAGGATGTTCCGCTACCTGGCAACCCAAAAGTAAGACATGAATCACAGCTACAAACCCTTTTCGGCAAGTGGTGCACACCTTCTCTGTTGTGACGTTTCCACAGTAAAACGTCTGAAAACAACTCGACCTCTGTTCTATATGTTGGTGAGCTGAAATGTTTCCATCGATTCTCAAACCAGAGAAATCTGTTGCGTATCCTCTGTGAGCATTTGATCTAGTTTTAAGAATCATTTTTACCCCTCGGTGGTTTTTGAACCAGATGAAGGATTTAAGTCGTCTGGATCTGAAGTTATCAGAGAGAAAGTCGCTGATTTTTAAAAAGTCAAACTGTTTTATTCAGTGTTTCTCCTGGTTTAATCTCCTGGTGTGTTTGTTGTGGAGAGGAGGAAACTCTGAGGATCATTCAGCTGCTGGTAATAACCTGCTGAACGTCTGGTTCATTAGCGATCAGAGAAACAGTCAGAACAAAGGTTAGCATCAGTCTCAGCTGCAGCTCTTCCCTGAGTGTCCAGAGCAAACTCTTTATTTAAATGAGACGAGCAGAATAAAATGCTTTTGAGGAAATGTCACAATGTTTAAGCTTAAATTTGCTTCGAGTTTCTGATGGATTTGTGTCACACATGATTAGTTCACGGACCATTGGAAAGTTGAAAATCCAACGATTCTTTCTGATTTCACAGCGTCTGGCATCATCTGATAAATGGTGGATTTTTATTCAGTGTTTTTAAAGGTTGAAGACGCCAAGAAGCAGAAAGCGACAGACTGTGTTCGAGTCGTGTCTTTGCTCGGAAGAAGTTTTACATCCTGATCAGCTGATTCAAATTGCTGCTGATTACAGGAGGAAGCCTGCAGGTGGTCTGTTCCCATTGTATAGACTCTAACTATACCTCCATCTGTGTGTGTGTGTGTGTGTGTGCGCCTCTCTCAGCTCTGGACTCCCACTCAGTTCATTGATTTGTGAAGTGGCCTCAGGCCGAGCTGCCGGATGAGTCGCGGCGTCCAGCTGCAAACCACTTCCTGTTCTGTCACTGCACAGATTGAATTACCTGTCACTCTGATGAACTCTGCCGTATCACTGTGGCAAAGATGCACAGAGGAGAGAGAGAAAAAAAAACGTTCCAAATTTATTTTTTAATTTCTTATTTTTAATTTCAGATTTGTTGTTTTGTTTTTTTTAAATCACAAATAAATGAGGGATCGTCCGGTGATACCCAGACCAGGTGTCCCCGCGCTCAGTCCCGCCCGGTGTGTAACCTTCACAGAATACCTTTCACATGTGGCTGAATCTGCTTCACTTCATACAAACACACGACGTCTCTTCAGCTCAGTGTCTGGTGACACGATGAGATGAAGCACGATTGAACAGATCCAGCTGCCGGCCGCCCAACCTCTGCACACGTCTACGACAGGAAGTACAAAACACATTCAGATCAAGGCCTCAGTCTGATTTCCCCTGAGAGGGGGGGGGGGGGTCCTGTCCAGGAGTGACCCTGCTCCTCTTCCCTTCCCCTTATCTCTCTAAACCTCAATTACAGAGGCTTACTGACTCTTTTCGGAGGAAACACCATCCCAGAGGCCAGGACTGAGGCTGTGGGATGAGGATGAGGATGAGGATGAGGATGAGGATGAGGATGAAGATGAGGATGAAGATGAGGATGAAGATGAGGACAATGGTCACTTCGAGCTGATGTTCTGTCTCACTGAAGCTTCACTTTGAAGATGCTGCAGATTTAACTTGACAACTACGCTGAGATAAGATTTTTTTCCCACCAGCTGTTCAAATCCCTGACAACAGAGCTGCTGGAGGAGGAGGGGGGAGGAGGGAGGGGGGGGGAGGGGTGACGGGATGGGGGGGGTTAGTCGCACAATGCAGCAGCAGCAGACAATCTGACACTGTACACAACTACACAAGAGCTCGTCTGGAAAAACACAGCAGCTCTGAGCTGCAGAGGGATTTGCTGGGCTTTTTGAACGAGTGACTCACTTTGAATACATTAGCATTAGTTTGATTTATAAAAAGAACAAACACAGAGATGAACAGAGAGGAAATTAACAGGTGGTTCGAAGGGTTTTTATTCCAGAGAAGAAGAAGAATGAGGCAAAGAGCTCGACCGGAGTGAAGAAGAAGAAGAAGAGGAAGAAGAAGAAGAAGAAGAAGAAGAAGAAGAAGAAGCCGGAGGAGGAGAGAAGGAGATTCTTCTTCCTCTTCTGTCTCTCCTTGTGACCGAACAATAAAATGGGAAGCACCCCCCTAACCCCCCCCTTCCTGTTTCCTTGGTTACCTGTAATAGCACACACAAACGCACA